TATATATATATATATATATATATATATATATATATATATATATATATATATCGTTGTGCCATGGGCACATGTCCTGGGCGTCTCCTCGTGACGACCGCTGGGTGGTAACTGGGTTACGCCCTTCTCCCTGCGAACATCCAGGACACCAATCCGCATGAGTCAGTTAACTGACCATGTGGTAAACCCGCTGCCTTTCAGGTGTGCATTTATTCGAAGGCTTTGGCTGAGTACCCGAGTCGTTCGCCTGTCAAAAGTCGGCTCCCTGGCAGTATCCTAGTCCATTCTCTTCGGAGGTTAGGAAGTGGTCGATGGCCCACTTCCCGTAAAACCTAGCCATGGGAGACAACAGGTTTACGGGTTATAAGGTCACAGCTCGATTGGCGTAGAACACGAGCGCCACGGTGGGAGGACACCTCCGGGTGTTCAGTGGTTTGTTACTACCCACCTCAAGCCCAGTAGCCCCTGGTCAAATTGGTGCAAACCCGCCAAAACCCACCTGCGTATGGTCGTGGTCGCAAGTGCGTATCCTACTACGGTCGCAAAACATAACTAAACCGTCCCAGTACCTCCAAGGCTGAGTGTGACGGGCCTCAAGCAGATCCCAATCTGTCTCTGCAATCACATTCCCGAGTTGGATTTGTTCCCCACTGCCTTGTGAGTCAGGCTATTGAGCCAAAGGCTCCGGGCAGAGTTCCTCAAGCAAACTTCCGAAACACACCACCACCTCGCGTGCGATTACCCACCAATGCAATCGTATGTCTACGCGCAAAGCACTCAGCATCGGGTGCTGGACCGTGCGCACACTACTGAACCGGAAATCGAGTGAGCGTCCCGAGCGACGCACTGCCCTGGTCGCGATGATCTGCTCATTGCCGCAATTGCTGTTTGTGCATGCTGTGATGGGCGTGCCATATCAGAGTGAATGGATGGACTAACCGAGTGAGTCAGACAACCAATGGGAGACGGGCGTAACGGATTGGATTACAGGGCACAGATTAGCCGACATTCGTGTGAGTTACTCACCGTTTCTTTAACTGAGTCGAAGGAGGAACTTCATCGACTTAGAGAGGTCGCTAGTTATAGACGTGAACATGCAACTTATATCGAGGAGTTTGGCTAGCCAAACATGCTGTAACCTTCACCGAGTTGACTTTGCTGCATAAACGCTTGTCACTGAATGACTGATTTCTGCAACACATGCTACCTCAGTGTGTGCTAGTGAAACCACCGAACCACATTAATGAGCCTTTGTTTTAAGCTTCCAATGGTGATCGAAGTCTTTATTGCGGCACGCTATTTTCCCGCCCGAGCTGACCATGATTTGTTACAGTGTGCATCAGGGCTTTAAGATTGTGGACTCCGCCAAGGCCAAAATTAACGGGATTTTTAACCACTAGCGATCTCTACTCAGGTCTGCCGTTCACTCCTTTGGGTCAACATGGATCACAATTAACTGCTGGAGCTTTCTGCGGCTGATCTTATTCCTTCGGGATGTATGGATGGAGCTGTGGGTGGTACAGCACAAACGATCGATCGTCCCTGTGTATGCGCAGGCGTCATGTGGCTGTCCTATGGAGGCAACGGTGCTAGATAAACCCGGAACTGGATTTACCTGTCACTGTTGGCTCCATAGGGCAGTCACAGGACGCCTGCGTTTACAAGGGGACCATGGGTGGCTTGTGCTGTTCCATCCACGCATCCCGTATGCAGTGTAAACCGGAAGAAATAATACCGGGAGACACGTGCATGGGAGCCAAGTTTCTTCAACGGAGCCGACCCCTGCTCATTCGATATGCACAGCCGCAACATTCTAGTCACTTTAATCTGGGAATCATGCGTACCAAGCGTACAAAACGCGGTGGCTGGGCCGTAGTCCAGTCAACACTGGGTGCACGGAGACACTCTTTAAGCCTTCCTTGGCGCGAGGACCGTGCAACACCCAGCAATGACCTACTGTCTAGTGGAGCCAGTTTAGATGAGTTGGAGGGTACTTGACAGGTAGGCACCTTGTCAACATTCACACCAAGCGCAGCCACACTGGGGATATCAATCAACAGCTGACACCTGAAATGCAAGCAACTCAACACGTATGTACACATTCAGACCAAGTGCAGTGATGATGCGGCACACGTACCACATCAACCGAATTATTAGCGTGGTTTACTGGATGAAGATGAACCGGAAGCAGCATACTTACCAAGCGCTGCGCTGGTATGGGTTTCCGATTCAACTGATTCGTCGTCTTTTCGACGTTGGATCTACGTTGCGTCCCTGCTGGCTTACTAAGTCAGCTTGGCTCAGGCACTCGCGACCGCTTGCGATACAGCGCAATGCACTCGACATCGAGGGGCTATCCACCATCGACGCCTGTCGCTTCCGCAACTGACCTTTCCTTTCCGCATGCTTTGGTGATTTCTCATTCACCTGGGCAACGGTGCTCTTGACATGCTGTCGCCCCCGGCGCCGACCCACTTCCATCGCTTCCCAAACCCTGAAATCAACCTTAGTTCGTGATGAACTCACCTTGCTCATATCCCGGTAAGATAACTTCGATTTTCCCACATGCCACTTCCATGCACACAGTTGGTCATACAGTAGCTGTTTCGGTATCCACGTCCAATCCATGCGGCGATGATGCCCGAACCAGCTTAGGTGCCACGGTAGAAGTATGCAGACCAATACATACATCCCACTGCGGCGAAACACCTTCGTGTCATCCACTCTGTCCCCCCAGTCGATGCGCAAAATGCGATACAAACACTGTTGAATGAAGCGTTCCAGATAACTAACGTCCTTTCGGTACACCGTCCACGTTTCGCTACTCTGTAGAAGAACGACCAGCACCATAGACTTTATACAGTCAGCTACATACTAATGGTCAGTTGCTGATTGTTCCACACACTTGTTTCCAGTTGGCCAAGTGCGGCAGTCGCCTTCGCTGCGCGCATGTGCAGTTCGTTCGTCGTCTGCATGTCGGTTACTGTTATGTTCACAGAGTAGGAATACTACGTAAGTCAATGTGGATTTGCGATGAGTCCGCGGATTCCAGCTCTGGAGAAGGCCGAGAAAATACCAGTTTTACTTGTATTGATGGTGAGCCCGAATTTGGCCGCTGCCGAACCCAGAGCACTAGTCATGTGCTGCAACTCATCCGCGCTGTGTGTAAACAACGCACAATCATCGGCAAACAGCAACATACGGATAGTTGTCTCAAAGACTGGTTCTCACACCGAAACGACGGATGTTCAGCCACCCACCATCAATACGGTGCTCCACACGAACATCGTAAGCACAAGCGGCAACAAAAGCACATCAATGGACGAAGGTAAATATCAAAGAGAGCAGAGGCTAAGACACAGCTTTGCTTCATACCAAAGACAATAACAAAGTAATCCGAGGTCCGTCCACACAGATGCACTCTTCCCCGCATACCACTGTGCAGACGTTCAAGTAAACCTACGAACTTATTTGGACAACCAAACTTACCCAACATCAACCACAATGCCTCGCAGTTCACCGTATCAAATACCTTGGTGAAGTCCTCAAATAGCGTGTATGTGTGTCAGCTGTACGCCGTAATGGCGTTTCGTTGCCGCGCGACCACCACCAGTCGCGCGCGGAGTGAGTATACCGCGAGGACGCCCACCCCTACGCGGATGAACGCTCACTCTTCGATATAAGTTGCATGTTTGCGTCTATAACTAGCGACCTCTCTAAGTCGATGAAATTCCTCCTTTGACTCAATTAAAGAACGGTGAGTAACTCACACGAATGTCGCTAATCTGTCGCCTGTAATCCAATCCGTTACGCCAGTCTCCCATTGGTTGTCTGATTCACTCGGTTAGTCCCATCCATTCACTCTGATATCGCACGCCCGTCACAGCATGCACAAACAGCAATTGCGGCAATGAGCAGGTGTTCGGTGGATCACTCGTTGTGCGAGAGGGTAACAGCACTGAGGAGAGTCAATTGTGTAGCTTCCAATAAATGAATTGATTAATTTTCCACCAACCAACTGTTAATATTCAGACCAGATGCACTGAGTGCGATTGAAGAGAAAAGGGCTGCGGTGGACAAAGCGGAGCGTAAGCAACACAATAGGCGCGGGAACGCAGTGACTGAGCTGTTGTGTCTAATGAACCTACTAAACCGATATCAAGTGCCAAACAGATGGATGGAAGAACGAAGTACGGAGAGGAAGAAAATTGGCTATCCACAATAAGTCATGCGAGCCATGCGACCCAGAACCCAAGAGAAGCACAGGTCCGCCTCAGTTCGGTCTATGAATGCAAGTGGATAAGTTAAGTACACAGACGCAAATGCAGACGAGGCAACAAAACAGTCACGATGTTGACGCCAGTTGGGGTAGTGAAACGTAAGTCTATAGAGTGAACAGTAGGAGAGTTAACCGGATTAACCTCAACGAGAAACAGAGGGTATATTGGGCTTTGAACAGTAGACCAGCACTGAACCAACCATTTGTTCATTATACTTGTTAGCTAGAAGTGGGAAGAACCTTAGCTATTGTGAGGTTATACGTGCGAAAAGTGGACCACCAACTAAGCCATCAGTAAGCAAGAACTAGCAACCGGCTTTTGTGCCGCAAAAAATGTCGTATTGTGCGTAGGAAATGAGATGGTGGTTGGAGGGGAGGGACAGAGTAACTCGCAACACAAACGCGACCGAGGTCGGCTTCTCGTCATGTCAACAAGTTTAGCCATCCAAACACTGAACCAAATATAGACACGGAACTGGAGGAACTCGCTCTCTACACGGAGTATGACAAGTTATTCACCTCAGCTGTACCGTGCAGATTCGTCAATTTTGCTGGGTGCACCTTTAGTACATTGGAGCACGCTCCGTCAAAAAGCACAGTCCAATTGCAGCAAGCCATCTTCGAGAATTGGTAAGATATTACTAATCATAGTGAATGGGAATAAAGCAGGTAGTGTCGACACCACCACTTCATACACATGCACGAGGCAAGAAAGTAAGCGTACCTGTGGAAACCTGAGGATAGTTGTGAATTTGGATCCAGGTGTAACTGGACCAAGTCTTTGCGCACCGGTGATAGTACAAGCTGTGGAGAGAATCGCAAACGTCGTGCGCCAGTCTGATGTACCGTGCGTTTGGGGGTCACTGTCGGAGTGCCATTGCTTGAACACACCTTGATAGGGAGTGAGAAACGCAAGGTAAAACAAAGGGTAACAAATACAGTTTCCAGCGACAGTCAGGGTGAGTTAGTAAAACATGGAAAGCGTGAAAAATGTCAAAGTAAACCATCTCCGTCACTCACTTTTGTCTCCTCTTGTCCACACTCCAAATATCGCCCTAGGGACAACTAAGTCAAACAAATTCGCCTAGGAGAACTACTAGTAGGCTTACACAAAGAAGATAGATGTGTACCAGATGCAACCGTACCGAAAGTGTGATGGTGATTGGACAGGTATTTAGCTGGAGGATCAACAAGCGAGCGTTGCATCTAGAACGATGAGATGGCGATTGCTGGTCTGAGACCAGAATCTCGTAGGTCGACAGTCCGATGCAATAAGCATTAGGGGAAAAGAACATGAGATGAGAATATACAGCAAAATCCGACAAGATAAAAACGTGATTTCATCCGCTAGGTGTACTGACCTTCAATGCCAGCGGCGTACGCAGTCGAAGGCCAGTTGAAAAGGCTGATGATTCATGAATGTAAACAAGACGAAAACATGTTCAAACACGCGAGAGGGATGCAAAATGCAAAAAAAATCGGACACATGATCAGCCAGGTAGTTGTAGTTGCTGTCAGTTCGTTTGGTCGCCAGAACGAAATGGACGCAGTTGCTATGACGGGTGAGAGAACCATCGGATAAGCACGAGATTGAGAGGGCTGAATATTCACATCTTTGTCTGCTGATGAAATCAAGATGGTAGCGCACCAGTAAGCCATGATGAAGGTAAAATTTCACAGTGCCGAAGAGACCGAAAAAATCGACAACTCTAATCCAAACATACAATCCTGTTGGATCGAGCTGCGACAGTCCAGATTCAAAGTGACAAGGTGAAATGTAGAGAAGGCGAAAAGTATTGAAGAGGCAATTCGGGTGGCCAACTGCCGGACAAATGTGACCGAAGGTACGAAGGTCAGCGATTAATCCGTCGCATCATGTATTGTGGGATTTCCAAGCGCTGATAAAGCCGATCAGGCGGTTCTCATCAGAGAAGACAGCGTACACCAGCGAGGACCGAGTTATAGATCGATCTCAAGGTAGCAGCTCGCTGTGTGCTTAGTTCAGCTGATTGTCCCATTATGCCAAACATACGTTCCCGAAGACGTTCGCATGCAATGTGGAAACATGCCACGTGCTCTGTACCTATACCTTACAGGTCGCGTCATTGCTCATGGTAAGATGCGGACGCCGACTCGGCAGGAAAAGCATTTGGCAGGGTCGTCCCAATTCGGCGTTGCCATTCGACTCACTGCGGATTCTAACGTGATCAAAATGCTTATAAATGATTCCATCCCTTCGGCAATTTCTGCCATGGAAGTGTTACAGTGACCAGCTGATAAACCTAAAGCAATTAGACAACTTACTTAGTTATTGCTTAAATCTAGACCCTGCCTCCGGGTAGACTGACGTACAGAATAGCAGACATCGGTAGGTTTTTCGAACTTTTAAAGTACAATACACCATTTCAAGGTTGGGACAACAAGTCACAGGCTCTAGACAGAAACAAGCTGACACTGGGAACGGTTAGTAAGCCAAACTGCCTTGGTAGTTGAATCAGCTCTGATAGGCACATCATTGGGGAGGTGATATCATCACGTAGCAGCAGAGGAAATGTGCCTTTCAAAGCCACAACCATTAAAGGAGAAGGTGGGATGTCAGGCTATCAAGCAGAAGTAGGGTGTACGACGCTGTGACAAGATCAGTGTTATTGTATGGTTTAAGAACAAGGCCACTTTGTGATAGATGTTAGGAGATTGGTAACAATGCTTGCAGAGCACCGCTCATCTCCGATGGGAACACCAGATAAACAATACTGGTAGGTCCGCCAGATAGTGCCGCATTGGGGAGTCGGTTAAACTCGAACCGCTTTAGTTGACTAGGTTATAGCTTCTATCTCCGTTGGCCGCCTTCATCGGTGTGCATAACACGATGCCGCTGCACCTAGCGGAGTGGAATGTCGAGATGATTTGGTTCTTAGTATGATAAGGAGCAATGACTGATTCGATGGAACTTGGGATAACCGGCCAATTCGACAACATTGGCAAACCCATTGGCAGCAAATCTAGGGCAGTGTAAAGTGTTGATAAGGGAAATCACTAAGATGGTACTTGGAAATGCAGTCCCTACGGAATAATTTAGTTTAAGCTGGACTTTCTCAAGTTACAGGCTGGGGTAAACGCGACTCACTGTGCGCATGGCTCGAGACCCTACAGGATGCCACGTAGTCAATGCCAGTGGCATGTTCGTTGCTGTCCCCTAGCCGTACTGTCTGGCTAAAGTGTGTATCGTGCAGAGTCATTCGTGTGGTGTGGTTGATCACATAACGGAGCAGTGGATACCACAAAAAAACGGTCTTTCTGAGGCGACCTTACCTTCAATGCTTGTGACCGTGCATTGTTGGCGGAGTGCAGGGTATTTAGATTTTTACATTTTCCATCATTGCATACCTCATTGGGGGGTTTATACTAGTCGTATGGTAACGAAACAGTAACAATGACGAGTTTCCGTTGCTGTCTGTAATGCACATACTCGCTTGCGTGTTCACGTTTTTTTTCACCAAAAGCAGTCGAGGTGGGGAGTGGACATGGAAAGGCTTACACAGGCTATCCGATGCATTCAACAGGGGAAGAACACAGGCCTACGCAGTTCAGCCATGGCGTCGTTGGCAATCCAACCGGCCTGTGGCCTAAAGAATCATACAGCTGTCTCCTGTACTACAAGGACAAGGAGTTGAGACTGAGTAGAGCGGCGTGTGCGACCGTTGCAGCAGCCAAGTTAAGTCCCCGCACAAGTTTCGTGTGTAGCCAAATGGGTGCGTTTACAGCATTTTACACCATCAACTGTAAAGTTAACTAGACGGGCACCATCACAAATGCTACAGTTAACAAATAGATAGAAAAATGAGAAGGGTGCAATCAGAAGTCGATCAAACAACGATTGCATAACACTTCACTATATCGTCAGGATTTGCATCCATTCAAAAGCACAATGTCTCAATAAAACGTTTCTTCATAACTCGCTACAAATGACGTAAAATCTTGTGTCCAAAATGATAGATCGGTCTCAGTGACCTTGGACGTTGATTTAAGAAGATATCTATGGTAGATGACGTAAAAAATGATGTTCAGCGAAAAAGGTGAGAATGGCAATAGTTGCGCAGCAGAGAAGCGTCGGTGCTGCGTACCGGAGTACTAATGATATCGTTTTCAGGTGGGCATCTTCAGAGATCAGTAGAGAGCTGCATAAGTGGATTAACGTTATTCACACAGCCCCAAATGTAACCTTCAGATGAGATAAAGAGGCAGAGCGCAGAAATCAAAATGAAGCATGCTGTCGGGGAAAACTAATCCGTTGTGGTGACACTATAGAGCTGGGCAAAAGGTAGAGATAAACGTACTCACGTCCACAACTGCACATATATTTACGGGGATCCAACATGGCAACAACTCTCACGTTGCATAGGCAAATTAAAGAAGTAAATGCTTACATAACGCCCCGATACACAACTTCGAAATTTTGACTTGGGATCACCTATCAGCTGTGGCCGCGTGGATCTCACATGGAATACGCAGCATCCCAGGATAAAAGTGACCGTCTACTCACGCAGTGTCTATACACAAGCAAAATTATAAATGTGTAAAATGGTACGTTCCGTTTATGAGCGCAATTTGGCGCACAATAGAGGAAACAAGCGTAATGACAACAACATAAGTAATACTATCATATTATTATTATTGTCGTCATCAACCGAACCCGAAATTTGCAATTACCTCCAACGAAGGAAGCTCAGCCTATTGGGGCCAACTCATACTGTGTATACAAATTGGTACGTGACTGCGGAAACAGTTACATAGGCAGAACGCTGACTTCCCGAATAAAGGGCTCAGCGTGAAGTTGCTCAAATTGCCTACCCTCGTCAGATTCCATGCTCGCACAGACCGCCGGCTTCCTCGATAGGCGAACACCTATTAGACTCGGGTCACCGGATAGAGCTGGGCTCAGCGTTTAAAGTTGTGTTACATCACACTAATCCCCCTTCCTTCGGTTTGCTGAGGCTGTCGCTATAAACCGGATGAAGCCAGGCTTTTGTGTTCAGAAACAATTCTTTGTCAGCCTAAACCTGCCTTGGACGTAAGTGTGAACTTCCGTCATTCGTTCTGCACCTCAAGCTTGTCTGGTTGCGCCTACTGTTAGCTATATCTACGCACATCGGTTATTGTTACTGGTAAAGAGGAGACAATACGAAATGCATGCATCCACCAGCCTTCGTCTTCTTTCCGTGCTTTTCAAATGATTACAAGCATTTAAATTCCCCAATCGGAGCATATCATGTGTAAATGCGTTTACAGTGCGCTCAAATTATTAACATCTGAAGTGTTATGAATGTAGTGGCTTGAATCACGGTACCAAGGTAAAGAAGACAAAATCGACAAGCGGTAGTACGAAAGACGAAGAGTAAATGAGAACATAGAAATATGTTGGAATCACCAGACGAAAGGATAAGCAGCCACAAGTTAGGAACCCAACAGAAAGTGCAACTAGTTTTCCAAGATAGATTGGTGGTCCAATCACTGATGCGGTGGACTTCGATGCAAGTAGCCAGTCTATCCCATCAACTGATTCGTATAACTTTAGCACGTCACAGGTTTTAATGGAATGTCAATCAATGAGGTGTTTGTGACGGTGATCAACACACTCAGAGGTAAGATGAGGCACAGGCAGGTAAAGAACGCGATACAACTGTGAGAATCCCAGTGGAAACATCAATTTGTGACGGCTACTCAATGTTATATAACCACAAATAGCGAACGATAACCTAACCAGCGATGAGGCGTGAAGACGGATCTTGTTTAGAACCTAAATGCTCTAAACAAACATTCGGGGTGGAGAAGTCTACATCTTAACAACTTCGTGTGGTCATAAATGGCGGTACTGGTGAAATTTCCTGGGTTCATAAGCAGCCACATCTCGAAGAGGATTCGGCGCAAACTGACGCCCCAATGGTGCAGGCTCAATGGCATGTTGAGTAATTCCACCACAAGATACGGGGTGGGTCATGCAAACCCCGGCACCCCATCAAGTGTCCGGAGGCAAGACTTGTCTTTACAAGGTGAATGGTAGCAGCTCTTGAAACTCCCTCTCCCAGTAAAATCTCAGCTGCGGAAGGGGAGTTTGAGTTGTCGGCCCGGAGAAATTGGGATAGAGCACGAGCGCCACAGGCAGATTCCATATGATCGGATGTATGCTGGTTCGCTCCGGCCTAATTCCAGTACGGCAGCGAGGGTCGAAAGGCGCAAATCCGCCAACATTCACTGCAAATGGTCACAGTGATAGAGGTAACAAACAATGCGGTCGAAAGAATTTGAGTAGCTTAAACATACTGAGACTGCATGTGACTGGCCTCCAGGAGATTGCAGTGGGGTGTTGCGGCCACACTAGCAATCTGGACCTGCTCCCCAGTGTCCTGTAGATCGGGCCATCAACATAGCTCGAGAGAGAAAGAGTACACAAGTACCTGCGGCCTATCCTGAACCAAAGAGCGCAATTCACACAGCTTTTAGTCTTCTACACATGGTAGGTAATAAACAGGAATAAATAGACCAATACTGCACTTCTTTGTAATAGTTTTGTAAAGCTTAGTTAGTTAAGTAAATGTTATGAGAAATGGACTCAGCATCAGCTGGGGCCCAAAGTTGCTAAGCGTCATCATTGGGACCCTAATGTTGCAAGCGTAGACGGCTGCGAGCTGTGTGTTCCAGAGACGGAGAACACACCATTCCCGAGGGAATGTAGAAGCATAGTGAGTGCTGCCCGCTGACCGTCTTAACACACTCGAAATACCCAGTAGAAGATTGAATGCCGGGGTCGGAAAAGTGAACTGGGCTACGCGCTATTGGTCAACATAAGAATTGGCCGAGAAACAACGGAAGAAAGAAGAAGATAATTAACGACGAAACCCATCCCGAGAAAAGTGCTTCGTTCAACGTTCAACCGGGGACTCAGTAGTTAGGTCCACAAGTCGGTAGGAAAATGCGAGTATGTTTATGAGACACTATTTGATACAGTTAACGCACTGCTCTTACAAGACAGCAGGAGAGGATTTCTAAGTTGGCAACATCACCGAAGAATCCCTGAACACTGCATTGTGGGAGTAAGTAGAAACCTAAATCTGTACAACCCCATATAAATAAAATAAAAATTTTTCGTGTAGATTCGTCGCAGTTAGGCACAGATCGACAGCCACCACACATCCAGGAAAGTGCTAGATGGCAGTTTCATCCTATTGGGACTCGTCAGTAGCACACAAAAACTTAATAAATCCCTCCTACTACTTACAAATAAAAGTATCTGTCACCTACTGATACTCCAATCGTTCTTCAGGATATTATGTGGCATTTAAAAACGTCTGACTGGGTTCACAAATGTGAGATATCAATGCCATTATTCTTTGAATCAAATAGTGATGAAATGTACATTCAGCAGAGTTGGTCTCCACATGTTTTGGCAAACTGCTCCAAACATTTACCACTCTCCGTTCGAAGCACAGAAGTTGTGGAACGTGCTTCATATCCGGCATCATACACTTGTACTGCAGGGCGCTCGCATATGGAGCAACGGCCTCAATATGAGAGGCTACTGAGATGTGGCATGCGTTAGCTCACGATAAGATCGACTCGTACCGATAGTAGGACAAGGCTTAGAGTCCTATTGCCCTACATCTGTCTTCATATGGTAGGCCCCGTAAACTGGGGATGAGCCTATTGGCAAAGTGTTGGAAGGGTTCGACCTTCTGTGCCTCGCCTCAAGTGCTCGGTTAGTAGGTGGGCGAGCCGTACTCGGCCTTATGATGCAAAAGAAAAGGCGAGTAGCAAATGGTGACCTCATCAGACCAAGTACAGAAACTGCGTTGGAGTGCCTAAAGTAATCGGAGCTATTTGGGGCAAATCACACGAATTCTTTGAAGACAGCGCAGTTCACGTGTTTTTCCACCGTATTCCATGGTACGTGGGGTTTGCGACTTATGTGCGCAGCTTGAGGTGAATAGTAGCAATCCGTCAAAGAATACCCATGGTTTTCATGCTCTACGCCACATCAGTCAAGATAATAAGGTGCAGTATGTCACCTCCCATGTTGAGGCTAATGTTGCATTCATGATGCTTCTCCACCGCAGTTGGGTTAACCAAGTTACACTTAAACTAGGTCTTTTTAAGCTGGATACATTTCATTACCCTTTATTTGTTCTGCTAACGCTAACTGTGGTTAGATTCGTTAAATTTATTGCGTTTGTAGCATTTTTTGAGTCACTTCTGGACATTTTGTACTTATCGCGGATTTGTTGCTAGCCAACTTACTTCATTTGCTAAATTAGCGAATTATTACGTCGGCATAGCCATATTCTTTAACAGATATATTTTACTTGATAATGTCATTTCAAGTGACTAGCTGTTGCGTGATATTCCCGGTGTGGATGCGTTTAATGTGTATGTTGACAAGGTTTCTACCTGTCTATTACCCACTACCTCGTCCATACTGGCTCCAGGAGACAGTTGGTCGTTGCTGGAGGGGACGGGGTGCACAGTCCTTGTAGTCGTGCTAGGCTCGAGGAGTGGTTCCATGCACTCAGTGTGGAGCGGATCACGGTCCAGCCACCACCTTGTGTGCGGTTGATTCCCCAAATACAGCGTGCTTGTGTTTGCCTGTGAAGGAGTGTGGACCGGCTCCGTTGATGAGATGTGGCTCCCATCCACATGCCTCCCGGTCTTATTCCTTCGGGTTTACACTGGGTATGGGGTGTGTGGTTGGAGCTGTGGGTGGTGCAGCGCAAGCTACCCATGGTCCCTCTGTAGGCGCAGACGTCCTGTGGATGGTCACAGTGACAGGCGAATCCGAAACCGGATGCCGCAAACCATGTCGCCTCACATGACTTGGTTTTGAAGGAGGTAGGCCAGCAATTTATCTCCGACCTCCGATAAGGATGATGCGGAGCACGGACTTATCCAACCTATAATCTGTGATCTGAGTGGCATGAGTGATTCGGAAGACAAGGGGAAATGTAAACAGCTGAATCCTAATTGAATACGGATGGATACAAACCGATGAAAAACATAGGGGTCCGGTCACGCAACGGTGATCCAGTTGTATGTGCGTCTAAATGTTAGCATGGAGGCGGCAGCGTGAGAAAGATTCTCAAACTGTGACAGCGACTAGCAATCGGTGACCATTTATGGAAAAGACGTGTCAGTATGCGTAAGGTGAGTTCTCTAGTAACCGGTTTAGAACTGAAATTTAAGCTTTCAGGGAGTGCGAAGACAGCATTTGGGCAACAGTGACAGGAGCACAGGTCGGTTGGTAAGTAGCAACAAACAGTACGTGACAGAGTCCGTGTGCATTTTGGCACGTTAGGAATTGTAGGGAAATTTTTACCCATAAATCTGAATAATGAGGTGCCGGAAAGGCGCTGTGTGATAGAATATAGCGCCTTGGAAAGAAGATCTGACCAGTCCCAGAGATAATTACAAAACGGTTTCCTTAAAAAGGTAGCCCAATAGGAATTGGATGTATTTGGAGCCTCGCAAACTGATATTCGTCAACAGCGATGAGAATTTCTATCAGTGATTGAGATTATACAAATGAGGGAAGATGGTATAGACTGACAAGCATACCATACTACTGCCCTGATTCTCCGATTCTTCCGCAGCAAATGCCAAATTTTCCTTTTCATCATCCAGCTCTTGATCACCGTTGGACTTTGGCGAATGGGGTAGTGGTGGTAGTGCTGCACGCTGTGGAGAGGGAAAAATTTGGACGACACGCATGAATACATGCAGAGAGAAACAAAGCCGCATATTGAGACCATCAATGATGATAGTACTTTGAGGCAGCTACTCGCATTTGAAAAATGAAATGAACACATGAAATAGGATCTTAGACAACACACAAATGTGCGTGGATCCGAGCAGTTGAGACATGTTCCGTTCTCTGTCCTGCCAGTGTAACACACGAGTGGTCCTGACTTCGTAAACACCCCACAGGTGGAGATTACCGGGTGAAGGACAAACCACGGTGGTAATCACTGCTGACGGAGCGGAGTAGTCAGTGGTAATGGTGTCTGTCGGAAACAACCAGAGATCAGGATAGAATCCTAGCTCCGAGTAGCTCTCTCACAACATCTGATGAGTCCAACAAAAGGATGGGCAACGCAGGTCCAAGTTTGCGCAAATCTGTACACATGTACAACGCTTGACCATGCTCACAGAACAGTCCAGTACATGAAAAATGCATGGGAAGCACGATGATAGGACCCAGGCAAACAGTTGAACAGCAAGGTGATATGAGCAGCAGACGAAGATCACCGGGTAGGACAGAAATGGGACATATGTAGTCTACGAAGGTGTGTCGAGGGCGGTTATCCATACAGAATTGGAAGGTGTAAAAGCTTCGTAGCAGCAATATCATAGCCCACGAGCTGATATAAAGTAGCTCAGTAGAATATTGAAAGGTGAGAACGATGGAATTAAACCACAAGCACATTACCACGGGGCTAACTTAGATCAGATCATGAATTCGCATCCCTTAGCGGAAGGTGTATGGGGAATAGCGTAGCAACGCAATGGCCGTTTAAAGACGATGAGGAAATCAACCCATGGAGAGCAGTATCGGGGTGAACAGGTGATGCAGGACGGATTTGTAAGTAAAATGTAATACTGGTATGGTGGAAAAGAGTAATTAGTATACTCCAGAGTGCTCTGTTGGTACAAGTGCTAGTGCAAAGTAAGAAACGTCATTCTGCGAAGGAAAATGGCAAGAACTGAGTTAGCGGTGCATAGAAAACATCATCACCTGTTTAGGTAATTAAAAAACAAAGGTCAAAGTCTACGCAGAGCAAACACCGTCAAAACCTAACTAATAACACATACTCGAAGGTCATCAGAGCGAGAACTGGTGATGGGGTTCTTAATCATCGTTGGTGACCATGGCAAAGTGTACCCGCGCCGACGAATTCGAAGGGAATAAGGTTTTCGTGATTCCGGTTGAGAAAAACTTCTGCTTCGGCGAAGGGGTCCGATTCCCGATCGGCCTCCACGCTGAAAGTTCTCATCCGTGGCGTCAGCGGAATCTATGTGTAGGGGTGGCGAGCTGAATGCCGGCAAACTAAGTTGACGTACGAGCAGACCGACGCGGAGTAGATGCGCCACTGGAAACTGTAATGCACACGCATGGAATCAGAAAGTGGTAAAAAGAAGGCGCCGACAATGATAAAAAAATTCATGGAAGAGAAACGGGCTGATTCCTGTGCTTCAATCAGTCGAGCAATTCTCCGCTTATTTGATTCCGATAGGTGACTGCTGCTAATGAACCAACCTTGCATATAGAACTGGGTCGGGACCAGTCAGAGAAGGAATATCACATTGAGTAATTGTGGAACCAGTTCCCACCGTTAGCAGATCATAAAATAAACCCATTCATGATACACCGACTTAAAGATAGCTCCCTCTGTCTGCGAAACTCGCGAAAGTTAAGGCACTGGAGCTCCACACACGATAAAATAACTGCTGCTCTTCGAGCTGTACGTCATCACCAATGCACATTAGCTGAAGGTGAGAAACACTTCAACTATTGTGCCACTATACAGAGATATCACAAAAAGCAATAAACTAAACATTATGGAATGCAAAAAAACAGACAACACACTACTTAGTAACATATTGTGCGTCAAAGGAGAGACTGTGGTTGGAGGGGGAAGATAAGCGGGATGGGGAGGGATAAGGAATCGAACAACACAGACGCCATTGAGATCGGATCCTTGCCATATCAACTAGTGTATCCAACTAGACGGGTTCATCGTCCTTCGGACCCCAGCCCGGCACACAACCGATGCCAAGTTCGAAGTGAGGGACTTCATTCCTTTTGACAAAGCCATCGCTTGGCCACCCCTCTTCTTCTTCCATCCAGACCCCAGACGCGCAAACAACGCACGTCGCGGGAGCCGGCATGTGCAACATGTGGCCCAGCCATCGGAGCCTGGTGCGTTAGATAATGGGGCTGAGCGGTTCACTCGCTCTTCCTGCACCAAATACACGACGTCGAATACGCTAACTGCGCACTAGACATGAGCTAAGCTGCGAAGGCAGCGATGATGGGAGCATAACTAGCCGTTTTATGCCTGTCGACTTGATTGGCCAGGTTTCGCAACTGTACAAGAGGGTGGAACGGACAGCTACGCTGTAACCTCTGGCCTCAGGGCGAGAGTGATGTCGCGCCGGCGCTACACACACACTGTTTTAGCTTCCAATAGACTTTAATTTTTCTAATAATGCTTGCATCAAACATCTCTACGGTGTTTTCACTTGTACCAAGTGTTCCAGAAACAGACTCACAAAGATCACCTTATGACAGACTCCAGGCAATGGGGAGCGTGCATCGCAACCAGTGTGAGTGGTGTCTGTTACTGTCCCATAGCTGGACTCACTGGTTGAAGTGTGCGGGGCAATGTAGAGCGAGGTTGATTACAGCAGAGGATAGTGAAAGCCACAAGGAAGCTGACTCTTCAATACAGCCTCATCACCGCACAAAGGACAGCATATTGCAAAGTGTGGGCGCCTTGACAATAAAATCATTCCAAAGGTAGTCAGATGTTGCATGTCCGACGCTCACATCTCAAATATGGTTGTACGACAGTGATGCACCGTTGCATTGATATTGGTAGTGAGGAGAATGAGATTGTGGCGAACAGAGGGTGAAAAACGAGAGAAGTAGGGTATTTATCAGCGGAACTCGAAAAGTGCGATCTTTGTGCTTTATGGAAGAAGATAAGGGTCGTTGGAAATGGCACGAGTACATTACTAGATGGTTGATATCCGAAACGGTTGTGGAAAACACTTCATCCGCACCCACTGAAAAATTGGTGGACAGTAGGAAATCGTTTAAAAGTAGAACTCCTGCAATTGATTTGGATGGGTAGCAACATAAGGAGAAGTGAGGAGAAGAGGTAATTGCTACGGCAGGCGCGTAAATCGTCCCCCACAGATGGGACAAGCAACTGAATATGCGAACCACTTTTAGAGACTGTGCTCACATGTGTATTGGTGAAGTAGAAAACGAATCGCGGGAGTCAAAAGTGGGACATGAGAAACACATGACGCGTCAATCGTGGAAGATGTTCCGATGCAAAGCCTGAGCAGGAGTGGCTGGTAGTGATGAGCGCGATAGGCACAGGATGTAAGATCGGCTGGAAGAGTGTAACATTAATTAGGGATGTAGTATCACGGAGATCGATTGAAAAAGCGATAGAAATCGTCCAGGTCAACAGGAGCGTGGTAGCCCATCAGGTTGACTGTCAGCGGCTTATGGTTCCGAGTCGGAGAGCAATAACAAAGCCAGGAGAAAGAGACTTCAGCACTGCGCTGAGACTCGATCACTGCCAATCACGTGCGGTCTAGGAATACCGCGATGTCACCCGCACCTAAGGGGACTCGAACCGATTACCTTGTAACAAGGACCACTGGCCGACGACACAATAACGTATTCACGCAATCCCTGGTAAATCAGTTAGGCATTATTCCGGCTGTGCCATCTAAGATGCAATCTCGTCACTTGGTCGTAGCTGACCTTAGGTAATTAGCTTTGCCGTCATGATTAGCGATTCGTTTGCTATGAGATAGAGAGTCGCGTAGCCTAACGAAGTCCATGAACGCGTAAGAATAGGGCTGCGAATTTAAGATGCAGAAGGGACCGAAGGAAATGCGCATTGATGACGATTTCTGAAAGGATGAAACGTCCGTATAACGCCTTACCTGAGGTATGGTCGTTGGTTGACTGGGTTTAGTAGTAACGATTAGGTAAAGCACTGGATCGAAGGAATAAGTCGATGGACTATGTTTGCCCTACTAAAATCAAGACGATCGCCCTTAAACGCAGATGTACAAAGGCAGGTGTACAAACAAAAAGAGAAATAGAATAGACACGGATCACGTTGAAAGAGGCGTACTCACCTTGGAGATGAAAGACTTTATAGCCTCGACTTCCTCATGATCAGCTCCAGCAAAGATTTCCGTTAGGGTCAGCAACGATTCCTGGTGAATGATTTCTGAAAGACTGATGGATCCCTCACTTTCGCAGAGCCTTGGCAACTACAGATGATTAAAGATTTCCAAGTTGATAAGGGTCCCAAAGTGATGATAAGCAATGTGAAGGAAAAGGAGCCATAACGAACGCGCCACTGTGACCCAGCAAATAGACGATAAAGGACAAAAATAGACATAATTTAGCGGGTAAATTATCTTGTCATTATTCGGTTACCACTCCTCTTCCTCTCCAAAAAAAAACAGTGGAGTTAAGCTCGTCCGAACCGTTGAAAAGGCGGTGGCTTTGCAGTCCCGTTTATTTAGTTAACCCTAATCACAACTCCGAAGATCCTGGAACTGGAGTACTTGAATCAGGTCCAGGTTAAACACAGAAGGAAATAAGGCAACAATGTGCGAAAGCAAACGGAATGGCTTGCGCTGAAAGATTGGCAATTTAAGTAAAGACTGACGGAATAGTGTTACGACCGCCTATGTGGCTGGAATCACACGAGCGCCCAATAGCATAGTCACCGCCCACTAACACGGTATGCACTAATTCGCCTCGTTCAGACAAGCCACTTCCCAAGGCTTCGCTAAGAAATGTTAAATTATTCTCGTCGGGGTTTCGCGACAATCGCTCAAATGAACGAGTAACGGGTATGCAAAAAACGTGACTGATACGAGGCAAAGGATGATACAATGAAGTGCACAAAGCGCTAAGCGACAGCATATACTCCCTCAGTGATAACACTGGGGAGTAACAATGTGTCGCAGACATGTTTCTAGAAAATTGGTGCATACGATGAAGTAGACAAACACACTTATTTTCCGCATGTGGCACAAGCGGTAAATTAGTTAGGGGCTCTATAAATCAATTTTTTAAAAACAAATTAGTTAGATGGTCCGTGCCGAGCGGATAACGGTGGCCAATAAGACTGACGAACTGGGTACATGATGCACAACAGTGAAATGGTAAGTCCCTCGTTAGGATGAAAGAATGCCCATTACCAATGAATCCAAGGATGAAAAAGGCCGCTCGATTATCATCAAAGAGGCTAGAAGACTGACAAACTGAGCCAATAGGTTTGATAAGGTTCATCCCAGAAAAAATCAGTCAGTCAGATGTTGAAAAGCACTATAGGCCATTCCGCCCTACTGAAACTCGGTAGTAACGCACAATCGCGGGATCCTGTCGGATCCACGAACTCATGACCTTAAGCTTAAGAGCCAGCACTACTTAGGCTAATGAGTTATGGGTGACGGTGGCGGATGAACGTAATTAATGAGTCCGTCTATAGGAGAAAACAGTTGTCCAGCGCTTTTCCGTATGCGTGATGGCTGGGTGAGATGAAAAGCCTCCATAGGCGGCGGCTTGCAAGGGGAAGCTCTGTCTTTCGAACGTCACTAACATGCGTGGAAGAGGATAAGCAGCCACATATCGTAGTGAGTAGTAGGTGTGGCTGGGATAAATCTCAGTCGGAGTTTTGGAATTCCCCCTACCTATGAAGCACACAGAAGAGAACAAATAAAAAGGGCAACCACTGCGTAGGAGTAAAGGGGAGAAAAGTAGGAAAACCAGTTCTGTAGCTGTCGCCACGTGGGTCCAGGGCACAAGTTAAGGTCTGCGAAATTCTCTGAGGAAAGAGAGAAATGCCGCATGTCCAAATTAAGTTGTCCCATCCAAAAAATATGGCGTGAGTAGTCGACCGACCGACCGGCTCAGAGCGGTGACGGTCATAAAGACACGCTACATATGTAATATTTCTTAAATAATAAATACTACCAAATAAATGCAAAAGTTTGAACCCTGATTTGGCAATAAGAATGAGGTGGCGGCTGTTACCGACAGTCAAGTACAATTCAGGGACGATATGCTTGCAGTTGTGGAAGTAAACGATGACACCAAAAGAAGTTGCGAATTACAAGCTTTACCGTCCAAGTATGTAAACTGCTGTGAGGGACGAAGGTAAAACTACTTCGACAGTGCAGACTCACCGCCGTGAAGAGGTGATCGCCTAAAGATGAGCAGGCCTAGCGCTCGATCGAACGCACACAGAGACGAGGTGTCAAACGCGAGCCAGAAAACAAAGTCAGTATACCACAAAAGCAAGGTTCGGACGTGTGAGTAAAACGAGGCGGCAGGATGTAGCGTAGTGGTCTATGGGTGGGAATAGCGGGTGAAAAGTGGACCCAGTTGACCCGGCATCTGTCTCCGGGATATGATGAGTAACAGCAGTGAGGAAAAGGAGGTAGAACTCAAACAAAATACTGAGAAAAGGGGTTAAGAGAAAGTGCGTGGAACTAATGGAAATGGAACAGTAATGCCCAGAGGCAAAAGCGTCATGTTCGGTGAGTTCTCCGATCACCGGTGTTGCTTATCCTGAGGCCTTCTGTTAGGAGGGTACGGTTTCTCGAGCGCAAATCAGCGGAGCACGTGAATCGCGTGCACTTAACCAGCTGTCCCAAAATCCTGAATGAGCTGAGCCCAAGGTCAACCCGGCTGATTCCTAACGCACAGGGAATACATGGATCAACAGACCAGTGTTTATTTGAAAACAATACCCACGGTTGAACGCGTATTTGGCCAGTGCAGGCTGTACAGTGTACGTTCTTCCCCCGTGTTTCGTTCACGTTCGGTTCTCAGAATAAACTCCGGTTTTTCGCGTACTCGCCCTACTCGTTCTTCATTGCTGGGGATTGGACTACTCTCTACTCTAGCATGTAACAAACGTGACCGACTAGAAAGATCCGAATGGCGGGACACGCTGGATGGCTTTAGTGTCTACAACGCACACATAATAACGACTGTAAGGATAAGTTGAAGAGACGACACCTAACTTGCTTTAAAGTCAAGTCGGCACACGGCAAGACAGGCCACGAAAGTGTGGGTGAGACCTTATGAGGGACTACAATGCATGGAAGCGATGTCCCCAGTGGGGCGGTTCTATGGGTAGCGTAATAATCCGCTTAAACGTTAAGCTATATCTGCATTTATGATTATTATTTCCAACTTCCCAAACATCCTGATACGTGCAAAATAATTAATTACCACACATATTCGTCTGGGAACCGCACTGAAGTACTAGGAAAATTACCTGTTTTATGCGACTTTGCTACATATATCGGTCAGACTATTCAGCTGGATTGTGTCTCGCACTGTTGAGGAATATATCGTTTATTAGCACATTTATTTATTTAAACTTGTCGTGCCCTTGAAGCACGATGTCGCATAGCCGCTTCGTAGGACCTTACAAATAGTTTCAGGGACAGCTTATAATGAATGCAGAGGGATTCGGCAGTGGGCGCTCGAAAAACATGATCTATTCAAGAAAGCGGTAACCAGGGGGTTATCCTCATACACCTCAGTAGTGTTAACCCGGTGCTACAAACAGATGTGACCAACGCTCAGGAAGGATCGGTGATCAACGGCCTAAGTGATATGAGGCACTTCCTCTGAAGAAAGAGTCCAATGCGTCTCAAACGTCAGTTGCGGAATCAGTAACACTATCCAGTCCATTGATCGCGAAAGAAGTGTCGTATTAGGAGAGAAAGACAACAGCAAGAAGGTATTGCTAACTGGGTTCTGTTGGCGGATGATCCTTTCTGGTCGCTTATTCATCGAAAGGGGTTTGTGCTTAAGAAACACAATTGACCACATGGTGCATATGCGGACCTCGTCGATGTGGCAGTAACGCATCTCAACACAGCAATCCTTAGTGGTGTACCAGTGCGACGAAAACACCATAACAACTACTGGTCAGCAGGAGCCCAGTTTATCGAGAGTGTGAAGAAAGCAAACATAGTCGCATTGGTATTCGTTCACCAAATGCCTAAGTAATGAATACCGATGTAATAAGTGTAACAAATACCTCTCGTGCGCGTGGAAGAATTGCCGATGATCAGATTCTTCGCTAAAACATAACCTATCCGTTAGACTGAGGAACGCATAATAAAAGTGTATTGAAGCGAGGGTCAAGGAAGAGTTAAATTTAGAAAAAGGGAAGCTCAACATTAACTTTAAATAATGGCGAAATTATATTCGAAGACAGCATCGAGTAGGAATGTAAAGCGTGTAAAACACAAACTAAGGTAGAGTAAGGATAGTTGGACACGAGCAGCCACAAGAGACGGATCGCAGAGGAGACAAAGTAATGAACCCTGCAGCGCGTAATTTACTGTGAACGACTGAATCCCAGAGTTTCCGACCTAGGCACCAGGAAGACTTCAGGAATTAGTCATATAAACCTCAGCAATGTGTGATAAGAATAAGAAGAAGCAATTCGCTTCACTTGTACAGCCATCGACTTAACAAGAGCAAAAAGCATTAAATTTATAAGGTCCACAGGTCAAACATCCAGCGAATTCATGACAAGCCGCTGTGCATGACCCCACAGTTGGTAAAAATGTGTGTGCCTCGATCCTGATATAAGGTTGTGTTGTAAATCCACCATTTGCTCCGCAAACTCCTCAGTCGTTAAGTTCTGTCACCATACAGCCTACAACTGAGCGATTGTAAAGAGCACATAACAGAAGCGCGAGTGTCATTGGTGTACTCAAAGGGAGATAAGAAATGTGGAAAGGACGAAATGGATTTGAAAAATACCGGTAGAATTAGGGTGGCGGTGTCCAATAACTTCCTGAATGCATTGATGTGCAATGAACACAGTGGAAGCTTGTTAAATCATTGGTAAAAGGTGCAAGTTGCTTAGTGAAAACTGAAGGGATGGAAACAGCTAAATGCAGTGAATGGAAAAACAGTTATTTCTTACAAAAAGAGTCGGGAACGTCCCGGTTTGTAGCTTGGTGGAAGGGTTCTGTGTCTCAATCGCCTGAATGGCTTGCAAGATGCGCTGTCTCAACTCCCGTCGCTCCTTGGCATCTTGATCTAGCTGAAAGACCAAGTTTGTCGCCAATTTTTCAGTGCTAGATAGCTGAAGAGAAAGGCGAAAACGGATGGATGGAACATGTGATTCGTCGTTTTTGATCTGGAGTTAACATGAACTAACAGACACATCAAGTAAAAGATTCTGATGGGTCAAGTCAAATGCGTCCAAGGGAAGACAACTACGCAATCCGATATGGCTGGGTACGTATGATAACTTTGGTTGATTAACGCCCACACAAGCGTTCAACTGCTGGTGCTGCATTAGAATGCGGCATTCGGATGTAGTGAAGCATGTTCGAGCGATGTGTGCTGAAGACTTTAACAGGTTGTTTTTCATTATGAAACGACACTGCTCGACTGACATATGCAGAACAGCGTTCTCAGAGAAGCCGCATCCTGACTAACAGTTGTGTATTGACAGAAGCAATAAAAGGAACCACAATGACTCCAGTAAATGACGCAGAGCTTTTAAATGAAAGGGTTTTGAGAGAAATTATCGGTACACACAAACACCGAAAGGCTAGAGCATTATGACAGCACAAGGGTACAACGTTAAGAAAACGCGCGAAATGTGGTGTTTTGTATAAATCTTACCATCTCCGGAGAACAAATAGTGTGGCTGCATACGGACTGGTCTCCGTCATCGCCTCCATCCGCGTCCGTGGTTGGGTTAATCAGTTTGGGTTCCGCGGAAGAATCCACATGGGTGGGAATGGCGGGGGTGTAGTCATGATCAGAGGAAGCCGTCTAAAAATGATTTCACAGAAAGTGGGAAAAACAGTAAGTAGCTCGAAAACTACATGTGTAGATGTTTCTAAAGACTGTAGGCGCATTATGGGAGACATCATATGTCACAGGTGATGTGTCTCCAAGATAGCTTCAAAAACAAAACTTCTAACGTCCCAGTGAAATGGCAGTAAGAGAGGAAGCGTGATAACGAAAGTCTTGCTGGAAAGGAGAGGAACCAATTTTTAAAATGAAGACAAAAGTATTCAGATAAGTGTGTTTCAAGCTGCAAGTACTGGGGCGAAAATGGTGAAATAATGTGGTGGCTCCTGCGAGCCGATTGCAGATCTCTTGAGCACCCCGCTTCCTTAGCTGGCACTCTGCCAAGTACTATACTGATCAAATGTTGCACATACTGTTGGTGGCATCCCATTCCGGATTTGCCTGTCACTGCGGTATCCAGGGGGACAGCCACAGGACGCTTGTGCTTACAGAGGGACAATGGGTGGCTTGTACTGCACCCCCCCAATGACTATCCACACACATCATATCAGGTGTAAACCTGAATGAATAAGACCGGGAGGCATATGGATGTGAGCTACATTTCGTCAAAAGAGCCGCAAAACAAACCTTTAACCTGCATCACAGCAGCATACATGTCGATCAAATTTGGAAACCATGAGTACCAGACGTACAGAAGGCGGTGACTGAGTTGTATCAAAATACACTCTAGAGGTAAGCATTGAGGAGCCTAGCACGGTCTCCAGGACCTAGCACCCCGTCTCCTCAAGCAATGACCAACTGAATATTGTACAATCGAGGTAGCAGCTTTTAACAGGAAGCCACATTTCCAAGGTTCACAACCAGCGCAGCGACACCGGGGATATCAAAAAACCATCACAGAATTTGAAGGAAAATAAGCATGCAAAATTGACAAGGTATATGCAGCAGAATAACAGAAGTGAGCAAATCAAATAAAGTGGAATACCATCTATGCAGGTTAAGAAGATCCGGTGTAGCTAAACTGCAGTGAAGAAGCATGATGTATACAACACCAACCTCAGCATGACGTACACATACATGATTGGCGACATCCGGTTCCCGAGTTGCCTGCCCCTGGGGCCTACACGGGGACAGCCACAGGACGCCTACGCCTATAGAGGGATAATGGGTGACTTGCGCTGCACTACCCACAGCTTTATACACACACCACATATCCATTGTAAACTCGAAGGAATAAGACCGGAAGGTATGTGGATGGGAGCCACGTTTCATCAACGGAGCCGACGCACACTCCCACAACATGCACAACAGCAGCCTTCCTGTCTAGCTATGTAGGGACTCATGCGTACCAGACGTACACAAGGCGGTAGCTGGGCCGTACTCCACTCCATACCCGATGGAAACACTTTTTGAGCCTAGCACGGCCATGAAGACCGTGCACCCCTCCCCTTACAAACGATTCAGTCTCCTGGAGCCAGTAATCGAAGTGGAGGGTGTTAGACAGGTAGGCATCTTGTCAATATTCACATCAAGCGCAGTCATACTGGGGCTATCAAAATCTAACATGGAATTTTACGGAATGCAAACACGGAAAATTGACACAGAATATGCAGCAGAATAACAGAATTGAACAAAGCAAATAAAGTGGAGTGACATTTATCCATAGTAAAATGATCTAGTTTATGTGTAAGTTGGTTAAGCCCAACTGCCGTGAAGAAGCGTTATGAATGCAACATCAACCTCAGCATGAGCCACATATACATGTGTAAATATAGCCCATTAATTAAAACGCAGTACACCAAGGATCACAGAATAACGAACTAGTTCAGGATCAAAAAGGGAGCGCTATTTGTAGTAAGTGAAATTATGTCATGCAATTTCACAATTCAGTTCAGCTTATTAGGTATGAAGTGTGTTGGGCTCAGTAGGTTTGACACACGTATCCAAAACAAGAATTATAAATGAAACGGAGATTGATAAAGAATTCTAATTGCCAGACGAAATAGTTGAATCAAAGATGACCAAACGGGTGCGACAGCGCAACTAACTTTGTGGTCGTACCATGATAATGGCTAATCTGGAGGCCCCATCCGGGAAAACGAAACGTACTAACTGACTCAGCGTGTCAGTGAGCTGTTGCATGCATTTGTTGAGCTGTATCTGACTGACAACGACGGCGCTTCACCTAAGTAAACGAAAAGTATATGCCGAGTTAGCCGGTTACCAGGCCTCCGAATTACATGATCGAGTCAGCAAAGACGATTGGAGTGCAATAGATGCCTCGATAAGACAAAGGAGAATAAGTTGCCAGACGTCAGTATCACTCATCCGGTTAGCCCGCCAGCCATGGGTAACGTACAGCATATATCGGCGACCAGATGCGGCCATTGTGTTAATGTCGTTAGTGTACAAGCGTTAATTCACTGACCAGCACAACAACACTGACAGTGTTGCAGTGTCGTACACTCATCTGGTAAACAATAAGCGAACAAACACCATACAGATGATTTGGACTTCAAGGAGTCACACGAGCTGTAGTAACGTGCGTAGAAACCTCTTCGGTGATGCCAACTGTCCGAGGGGACCCAGCTACCGAACGATCGTTTCTAGCAGTCGTCCAGTGACAGTGAGAATTGGTGGTGAATCAGCTCGGTCACTAGATAGTAACAGCCTTCGTGTATAGAAAGCTAAAAGCACTTATCAAGGCACACAGCCAATGCATCAGTTTATTCAGCAGTGCACGTATTTAAGCCAGATCCAACCCAAAGAGCGGTATGCCATATGCACACTCAACGCGACGGTCAGTCGTCAAGAAGTCTTTAAGAAGCAGGCGAGAAGAGACTAGAGTGAAGTGCGATCATAAATTGAGAAGAAATTGATAGGGAAACCCTAGGGCATTTCACCCATAGAGAACTATGGAGTTTCAATGGATTTGTATGCGGCCAAGGAAACCACTGTATGAGAAGTTTAAAACAGGAAAGAAGTATCCCGTTCGCGCATCAAGCAAAAGCACGGCCGCAAACGAAATTAAAGGCAGTTTTTGACTCAAAAAGGTCACTATGGTAGATGTCGTCCGGAAGCCGAAAGGAGTATGCGCCTGTGTTGCAATGCGGGGGTCACCGGTACGAATTCATTTAGGTGCGGGAGACCTCGCGGAATAACCAGCCCTCGCGCGACCGGTGGTGGTCACGTGGCAGCGAAGCGCCGGCATGATTCCTCGGCTTACTGTTGATGTCCCTAGCATGAAAAGCTGGTTGTAAGTATTAGAATGCGGAGCCAACCGTCGAAAAGCAAAAATGTAGTCAATTCGCTTTCCGTAGGAGTGGAAGCCGTTCAAATTTTCACGGATTCGGCTCTTGCAGGGACCAGCGAGTCCCGGAGACAGAATGTATATCGGCAGTTGGTAGGCGATAGTCCAGTTCAGTTCAACTGAACATCTATGATCCCAACACCGAAGTGTGGCGGATCCAGTTGACATGGCATAAGTCACCAGGATAATGATACATAACGACGGTAAGATAGTGCGGTTGAACGCGAATGGAATCCAAAGAAAATGGAATCAAGGAAGTGTTTAAAACCAATCGATGGGGTGAAGATTAATGGATAGATGCAAGAAGCCGAGTGTAGAAGCACGACTGATTGTACAAAGGCGTCATGTCCGACTGAGTCTCCAACTACTAGTATGGCCTATCCCGACCTACACCCACGAAGACGGGACACAAAAGTCAATTCCTGCATGTTTTTATGACACGTAATCGACTGGCCACCTTGCGGTTTCACCCAACTTGGTGCAATCTCGGAGTAGAATGCACGGCGAGAAAGGCAATAAGCTGGTATGCGGATGACATAACTCAGCTAACCTTAACGGGTACGCTTTGGAAAATACTTCAGTGATGCGCCAGAGATCTTTACCTCTAACACCAACTGGCAGATCTAAGTATTGCTCACCCGGTGTTCCAATCAAATGTGAGCACTACTCTGCAAGTGTCGGTGATCAAATGCGGTCAATCGTTTTGTGTCACCACTGTGAAATGGCCAGATCTCTGATGTATACAACACCAGTCTTACTGCAGCGTTATACACCCTATCTATTACTGACAGTATGAGATACAGCCGTCTGCATAGATGGCTGAGTCGCTGAAAAGCCAAAAGGGCTCTGTTGGTACGCGTAGAGTAACCTCAGTGACGTGACCACCAGAGACACAACAACCGAGGTAAGCAAACCGATTCGCTACTTCAAGTGGCAGCTGATATCAGAATGACTTCCGCAAATGAATGCTCACAACGGTCCGTTCTACGGCGTTTCTTCGCTGCACTACGCTGAAACCAAGCCAAAACAAGAGGAAAAAAAAAAAAACAACAAAGCACGATCAGAAAGTGTAAAAAAACGGGCGGACAACAGCAACAAAAAAAGTACGGGGACAACCCGATGGGAACACGAAGCAGAACACACACTCAAGCAAGAGAGAACAAATATGCAGACAGCACAAGCAGAACAGCTGACACAACAGTAGGAAAGACCAAGGATAACGAGCAACGAATCAGAAAAAACAAACCACACCGTGCCGTCGAGGACACAGGTCCCATCTTACCCATACTAGACCCATGCGATGGCCGGGGACCAATCTAGCTTGTGCAACAAACCCACAGAACTTCTAAGCCCGAATCACCTTCAAGATCGCGACACTCTCTCAGCCCACCCGCCACCTACTGGCCTCCTCCGCCATCCAGAACGTTGCACCCCTGCACCGCCTGGCCCGACACACGCGGCTCTCCCACCCCCCACCCCAGCGCCCGCAGCACGCCCTACACCAAACCCACGGTCGGCGCCCCCCACCACTTGAGCCAGCTCATAGCACCCTCCCCAGCAACCTTGTGGGGGAGCCAAGAACCGAAAGATAGCACGCTTCATACACTCGCCCCAAACAGGAAGCGAGAACCAGAACTCAGAGCACCCAACAAGCTCACCACAAAACAACAGAGGCAGGCCGAACACAGAAAAACCAACATAAAACCCG